TGTACAGGGATTCAATTATTTTTGTAAATAATAAAATTCTTTTTAGTAATTCAATTATTTTCAAAAATTTTAATAAAATCATGGCATAATTTCAATTATTTTTAATAAAATTTTAATTAAATTGCTTGAAAAATGTAATTTTTATTAAAATTCGTAAAAAGAATTTAAATATTATTAAGAAATTTTTTGATAAAATTCGTAATGAGAATTCTATTTTAAGAAATATTCAATTGTATTTCAATTATTTATACTTGTGTTTTATACAAATTATAATATTTAGAAATTTGGATTTTTCATACTTTTAACTAACAAGTCTGTAGTATTAATTTTTTTTTAATTTTTACTTGAATTTTTTTTTTAAATTACTTGCAGTTTTAATTTTTTAATGTATATTCCATTGTAGAATAATCGAAATTTCGTAAAATTGAATTGTAAACAAGAAAATTCTAAAGTTCTGAACATTCAAATAAACGAAATTTATTTATTTTTTCTATAAATTAAATTTTTATTGCAATTATTTTGCGTCACTAACCAAAAAATTAATTACTGACTTTCTAAACGAAATATTTTATTTTTAAAAATTTTTTGTGATTAGTAATTTAGTAATTTATAAAAATATCTTCAATAAAAAATATTTCGTTTATTTAAACGTTCAAAACTTGGGGATCATAATAAGTGGATTTGAAAAATTCTGAGAGAACTTTGTCAAAAATTATATTAAAAAAATTGTTTTAGAGAAGAATTTTAGTTAAAAATTGTAGAAAGTAATAAATGATGAAAATAATTTTGAAGAAGTTACAGTAACAATATTTATTATAACATATTATAAGTTGTTGAATTCAAAAAAATTTTAATTGAAATTTTTGAAAATGATAATTCCAATGGAAAAATAATAATGATTGAATACTTATTTAAAAAAGAAGTTATTGATGGTTTCAAATAATTTAACAATTAAAAAAATTTGCAAATAAATGTATTTGAATATTTTTTTGAGCATCTCAATATTTTTAGAGTGAATCAGAATATTTTTTAAGGTCAGGGAAAAAGTCAAGATTTTGTCTGGAAATCAGGGAAAAACAAAAAATTGAATTTTTGTGGCAACCTTATTCTTGCATTTTGCTATTTTATTTATAATAAATTTGTGTTAAATTTACTTTTGTAATAATAAATTTTGTTGTAATATATGATTTGATTCAAATTTTTGTTATCAATTCGTTGTAATTTGATATTTTCAAGTTAACAGTGATGTTCTTATGTTTTCTTGGTCTTCAAAAGTATATATAATTTATGGCAAAACTTATTGCAAATACTTTTTTAAGTCATGTTAATACATTAATTCTGCTGAAACAAATATTTCCATTTTTTAAAGTAATAGGAAGAATTTCTTAGAGAAAGTAATAAACGGAAAGAGAAAATTTCATATTTATTTTTGCCTGTCGTTTTCACCTCACAGTTTTTCTAAGGATATCAAAAGTGTTGCGAAGCAATGTTTTGATTCGTTTTTTGTCTCAATTTGATATCCATAGAAAAACTGTGAGGTGAAAAAAAAATATTCTAGTCAATCAAAAAAGAGTATAAGTTTAAATTCCAACATCGAAAAATCAAACCCAATTTTCTTGACAGTATCAAATCGATACTAAAATTGATGAAATTGATATACCAAAAATGTACATCAATTTTTAATCTCTGATCCACATTTTTGTTATCAATTCGTTGCAATTTGATGCTTTTAAGTTAACAGGTGCAAGTTAGTAGGATCAAAAATGACATTTAAATTTTAATCACCCAAGATGAGCATTCTGCTATGATGAACAAAAAAAAAGTCACGATAATGGAAAGAAAAATGATTTTATGAAATATTAGAAGGTAGTGGATTTATTTAGAAATTCGACCATTTTCAAAAGATAATCACTGACAGTTTTTCCTTTTATCCTTTCGTAAATCTAATAAAATTGTTCATTAAGAAGATAATTATAATTCTTCCGGGGAAATTTGATGACACTAGTCACATGTATAGGTGATTGTTCGTAGAGCTTTTTGTATCGAACGACAAAACGTGTTAAAGTTGATCTGGTTGTATTGATGGTTACGATAATGATGTCGCGTTTGGACATGAAGCTCTCTCAAGCAGAGAAGCTGCTTGGTGGCTGGGCTAATTAGCATCTCGAGACGGATCGATCGTTACATCGTGTATATATATATATATATTTTTTTTCCAAACAGTTCTATTGACACAAACTTTTTTTAAACATTATCATTAATAAAAAAAATTTCCCTCTACTAATTAAAATATTCCCTTCCATTTTTGAAGCTTTTGTAAAATTCCCCATTAAAAAGAAAAAAGTCTGCCACTTTTATTTGGAAACTAAAAAACAAACATCTGTAAATTAAAATTCGGTAAAAAGATATTAGGTTTCGCACTCATCTACTAAAACATACTATTTACTACTTTTTTTACGTAATGCTACTATTTGTGTACTTTTTTTAGATTTCAGCCACTAAAAGCTACTATTTTTGTTTTTTTGAGAAAAAGAGTTCAATTATTTAAAAAAAAATTGATAAAATTCATCCAAAATTCAATTATTTTCATAAATAATAAAACTCATCGAAGAATTTCAATTATTTTAAACACTATTTTAAATTAATTAATCGAAAAATTCCATTATTTTCATAAAAAAAAGTTTTCTACAAGAATTCAATTATTTAAAATAACATTTTCATAATATTTATTACATTTCGAAAAAATTAATTATTTAAAACAATGTTTATAAAATTCTTATGAAGAATTCAATTATTTTCAAAAATAACAAAATTTTTCACAGAAATTCAATTATTTTCAAAAAATCTAAAAAAGATTGTTAGCATTCCAATTATCTTTATAAATGAATGGAAAAATTCTTTGACAAAATTCAATTATTTTCAGAAATTTTAATAAAATTCAGGGCAAAATATCAATTATTTCCAAAATTTTTTTTTGAATTCAATGATTTACAATATTTGACTATTTTAATAAAATTTCTAAAAAGGATTCAATTATTAAACAAAAATTTTGAAAATATTCTACACGAATATTCAATTAGTTTCCAAAATAATAAAAGTTTAAAAGAAATTCAATTATTTAAAATAGAATTTCCATAAATTTTTTCGAAAAAATCAAATGTTTTAAAATTTTACATTAAATTTTTCGCAGTAATTCAATTATTTCATAAATTTTCAAATTCTTTTCAGGGATTTAATTATTTTCATAAATAATAAAATCTTTCGGAGGAAGTCAATTATTTTTATAAGTAACAATATTCATCACAAGAATTCAATTATTTTCAAAAATAACAAAATTTTTCTCAGAAACTCAATTCTTTTTAAACATTTGTATTGAATAAATAATTGAATGTGTATTGAATAAATAAATAAATAATTTTTAATAAAATCTTTCGCAATATTTCAATTCTTCTCATAAATAATAAAATTCTTCTCAGGAATTCAATTTATAAATAATAAAATACATCGCAGAATTTTAATTATTTTTAATACAATACAATTTCTCAAAAAAGTCAATTATTTACAAAAATATTAGAATTTTTCACAGGAATTCAAATATTTTCAAATATTTTAATAATATTTCAATTATTTTCATAAATAATAAAATTCTTCTTAGGAATTCAATTATTTTTGAAAATTTTAATCAAATTCTTAGCAACTATTCAATTATTTTTATACATAACAAAATTTTTCATAGAAATTCAATTTTTTTTAAACATCCTAATAAAATTTTTCGCAATATTTCAATTATTTTCATAAATAATAAAATTCTTCTTAGGAATTCAATTATTTTTGAAAATTTTAATCAAATTCTAAGCAACTATTCAATTATTTTTATAAATAATAAAATAAATCGCAGGATTTTAATGATTTTTAATACAATACAATTTCTCGAAAAAGTCAATTATTTACAAAAATATTAGAATTTTTCACAGGAATTCAATTATTTTCAAATATTTTAATAATAGGTATATTTCAATTATTTTCATAAATAATAAAATTCTTCTCAGGAATTCAATTATTTTTGAAAATTTTAATCAAATTCTTAGCAACTATTCAATTATTTTTATAAATAACAAAATTTTTCATAGAAATTAAATTCTTTTTAAAAGTAATATATTTCTTCTTGGGAATTCAATTATTTAAAAAAATTCTAATAAAATCGTTGGCAAGAATTCAATTATTTTCATAAATAATAAAATGCTTTTTAGGAATTCAATTATTTTCAAAATAGTTTAATAAAATGCCACACAAGCATTCGCAATTATTCTCAAAAATTTAAATAGATTTGTTAGTAAACTTTAATTATTTTTAAAAACTTTTCACAGTTCAATGATTTTCAATATTTACCTTTTTTAGAAACTTTCCAAACAGAATTCAATTATTTAAAAAAAATGTTGTAAAAATCTTCGTAAGAATTCAATTCTTTTTAAGAAAAATAGAAATTTCTTAGAAATTCAATTATTTAAATTAGAATTTAAATAAAATTAGTCGAAAGAAATCAATTATTTAAAAATTTGTATAATTAAAATTATTTTTTAAAATATTTGAATTCTTTCATGAATAATAAAAGTCGTTGCATGAATTCAATTTATTTGCAGGATAAGAAAGGAGTAAATATATTTTTGATGAAAATTAGAAAAAAGTGAGGAAAATAAAAAATACGGAATGGAATTTTTGTCAGTTCTGTGAAGTGTCTAAAACGTGTTTTTTTGTTCGTCAAGTTTAATTTTTCGACAGCTACTTTTATACTACTTTTTTTAGTTTTGAAAGCTACTTTTTGCTACTTTTTTAAAATTAATTATCGAGTTCGAAGTTTGAGATATTTTTCATAAACTAGTTTATTTATTATATGTGCTTTTTTTATTTATTAATTTTATTTTTATTTATTAATAAAATAGAAGTAATATTAAAAATTACATTTTCTTCTGCCTTTTTTCTGACAATTTTTTTTGTTTCAGTGTCCTAGAAGTCCAGAGTAACAGGAAGTAAAACGACGGATAAACATCCGTCGTGAGAAACGATGGCGGCCGCGAGTTTTCCACCCAACTTTCCCAACGTCGGTGTCGTGGAAAACTGGTGAGTGAAAAGAAAGAAACATAATACAATTTTGAAAACTTTTCAGTTTGTGACCAAACTAGTAGAAAATTAGAAGCGAAATTGAAAAAATAAAATGCGCGATAAAGAAAAAGTATTCTCGAACAAAAGGAAAAAAAATGGTAGAATTTAAAAAGAGAAAAATAATATAATGGCAAAATAAAAAAGGTTTTTCTTTTTTTCAAAAAAAAAAGAAGGAAAAAATTAGATTTTTATAATAATATAATAGAGAGACAATTAGATATTGTCTTTTGACTTTGAGAGAGTTCATCACTTTCCCCCATTTGAAGTTTCATTCTGTTCCATTATAATGCGGATTAAATTGTATGTGCATCCATGAAAATCAAGGCACATGCGTCAAATTCACAGGTTTGCACAGTAATCAAGTGTTTAGAATTAGAACGCATTAGTCAAATCAAATACTCAGCTTCGGTAAATAATGTTATTTCAATTCCGCTAAATATTCTACCAACAATCGCGCCGAACAATAGTAATAGTAATAATAATAATAAAATAATAAAACAATATTTAATAATAATATTAATAATAATAACAATAAAATACCAACAACAATATTTATTGACAATATTAATATTAATATAGTAATATTAATAATAATAGTAATAATAATATCAATAATAATAATAATATTAATAATAATATCAATGATAATAATAATAACTCGCGAATTATTTTCAATTTATGGCTAAAGTTCCTAGCGATCGATAAATTCATTATATGGATAATACCTACACGATAATTGTGTTATCTGAATTATTGTAGCGTAAATAAAAGATTTCTTCAATGGTACATTATAAATTTAATTTTCAATATTTCGAATTCATTGAATTTTTCAAATTGGAAAATATTGGATTTTTAAATTACTGAAAAATTAATATTGCTAAAAATCTTGATATTTTTAAGAATCTTAATATATTTAATATATTAAATTGTTTTTCTAAAATTTAGTTCGAAATAAGGGGGTTTTTCACTAAAAAAATAATGAGTACTGTTAGTAATTCATTTAATAAACAAATCGGTGCTGTTGAATTAGTCAAAAGTGACTAATTCTATAATTTAGAGAGTAATATTGTAATGAGACCAACTCGTTAACAGTTCCACTGTTAATTAGTAGTTTTCTACTAATTTAGATTTAGAGGGAGCACTGAGAAAAATTTATTTGATTCAAATAACCGATTATTCTCAAATAAATATTTACTTCTATCAAATAATTTTTATTTAAAACAAACAAATTGTATTTTATCCAATATGTTCAGTATTCCAAATTCGAATTAGTAAAAATGTTTGATAATTTTAATTAGTAACTGACTTTTTGCTTTTGAAGTTGTAAATTTTTCTTATGAATAGTAATTTCTATTAATTTATTAGTCAAATTTACTGATTCAAAAGCAAAAAGTCAGTCACTAATTTCAATTAGTAAATATTTTTACTTGGTAATTAAAGTTCAGAGAATAAAGAAATAAATAAATGAATGAATAAATTATAAATCTTAATATTATTGAAAATATTATTATTACTACTAGCAACAATTCGAGCGGCTAACTTCTTACTACCTTTTTTTAAATAAAATTAGCAATTTTAAAAATAATAGAATTTAAAAATTTTCTAATTTAAATTTTTGTTGAAAACACTAAAAAATTCAATTTTGGAGAAATTACAAATAATTTCAGAAATTCAAATATTTAAAAAAAAAAAAAAAAAATTCTTATAAAATTCAACAATGTTCATGAAAAAAATTCTCGTAAAAATTCCAATTATCTTTATAAATAACAAAATTGTTCCCCAAAAGTTCAATTATTTTTAATAAATGTCAATAAAATTCTTGTTCTAATTTCAATTATTTTCAAAAATAAAATGCATTTTTCTAATTTCAATGATTTTCAATATCTACTATTTTAATAAAATTTCCCAAGAATTCAATTATTTAAAAAAAAATTTTAATAAAATTGTATGCAAACATTTACTTATTTTCATAAATAATAAACATTTTTTTAAGGAATTCAATTATTATTTTCATAAAAAATAATTTAAAATTCTAAAAAATAATAATTGAATTAAAATGATGAAAATAATTTTGATGAAGTTACAGTAACAATATTCTTATAATATAAAATAATGATTTTATCTCTCGGTCATCTTTAATTATTAGAAAACATGAAGAAATCGATCACTCCGAGTTGTTTAAAATTTAAAAAAGGTTTGAATTTGAAATTTTTGAATGTCTTAATTCCTGTGGAAAATCCTGTTCCAAAAATAAGATTAAAAATAGGAATTGTGCAAATATTTTCCTTCTTTTTCTAAAACAAAATAATATTTTTGTTAAAAAAATTGTGATTCATAAACAAAAATAATGCAAAATAAATAAATTTTCTATTTCTTAATCACAGTTGTTTAACAGTTTTCTTATTTTGTTTAGAAGCAAAGAACAAAAATCTGCATAATTTCAATTTGGCAAAACATACCTAAAATTTAACAAAATTTTAGTCTTTTAATGAAAAGAAGTGAAAAAAATCTGATGATTTCTACTTGTCATTACAATTTTGAATTAATTATAAAATAAAAATAATTATAACATAATAATATAATATACAATCTATATAAAGGTAACAAAAAACAAAAGTATAAACAAAAGACAACTTCAGAGTGTGAGGGACAGAAAAAGTGAATGAATGAAAGAACATTCAAATTATTATAGTTAATTAATTATTAAATATATAGAAAATTTTATAATATATTATGTATTTCGAGTAAAAGACTTATCGGTCGTATTTTTTTTAATAAAGTAATAATATAATATATTATAATATAGTGTTTATTATTATAATATTTATTTTTATTAATGTTTTTGCTATTACTATCAAAGATAAGAATATTAAAAATGATATTTTTGATGTTGTACCACAATGAATATTTTCTTTTCACCTCGATGTAGAGACTATTTCTACAAATTTCTGTAATATATGAAAGACTTTCTCATTAACTGTAACCCACCTGAGCCTCTATGAGCTTACAATAATTAGAGTAATAATAAATGACCACGATATCCTTATCGTAAAACATAACAAAGGATACTAAAATATCTCTTCTTTAATGTCCATCAATCTTCATTCATTTACACCTTAAGTGTCTATTTATATGTTTCTCATGAACTTGTATTATTACCGCAAAACTTACTCGTATATATATATATTGATTAAATTCGAAAAGTTCATAATTATAATTAAAAACCGCTCAATTTTTTACCAATTCGAAATAAAAGTGTTAAATGTTCCAATTTATTTTTATTAATACTAATTATATATTTTATTTCTTTTTAATATGATTAAAACAAAAATTAAAAAATAATTAAAATTATTATTAATTACTGTATGATTAATATTATTATTATTAATTAACTTGAGCTCTTCGCGTGCAAAGCCTCCTTTTTTTCTTGGTTCTATCTTGATTTAATTACATCTTGATTATTTTTTGCTCATAACTTTAGAATTTTTATTACTCGACGGAGGGGTAATTTTTAGAAAATAAGAATTTGTTTTTACTTTTTACAGCGATTTTTCAAGTTTATCAAACTGCAACGAATTGATACCAAAAGTCTGGATCAAATCAAAAAATTTATTTACATTTTCGGTATTAATTTGATTAGGGTTGCCACACGTTAGGGGAATCAGGGAATTCAGGGAAAAGTCAGGGAATTTTATTAAAAGTACTGGAAAAAAAATTAAATTTTTAGAATTCATATAAGAAGATTACGAATTTTTGGTGTCTTTTTTTGTTTGTCTCATAAACTATGAAACTACCACGAATTCTAATAAAAAAACCTTCAAAATTTTTTTCTATTTCTGACGAGAATAAATTTTTTAATATTATTTAATTATTTTAAAAGTTTTAACGCAATTATCTTGAAAAATAACAAAATTCTTTACAGAAATTCAATTATTTATAGAAATTTTAATAAAAATCTTTGCAAAATCCAATTGGTTTTCTTAAATAACAATATTCATCACGAGAATTCAATTATTTTCAAAAGTAATAAAATTCTTCGAAGAAATTCAATTCTTTTTAAAAATTCTTATAAAATTCTTGGCAAACTTTCAATTATATCTTTCTAATCAATAAAATTCTTCTCTAAAATTCAATTATTTTCAAAAATTTATCATAAATTTAAATTATTGAAAAAAATTTTTGATACAATTCTACGAAAACATTCAATTATTTTCATATTTTCAATATTTTTAATGCAATTTTAAATAAATTCCACGGATAATGCAGTATATTCTTAAAAATTTTATTAAAACTTTACGAAAGAATTCAATTTTAAGAAGCATTCAATTATTCAATAGAATAATAAAATTCGTTGCAATAATTCAATTATTTATATAAATAACTTTTAATTCGTCGTAAGAAATCAATTATTTTCAAAAAATATTTCAATAATTCTGCAAAAAAATTCAATTATCTTGATAAACAACAAAATTCTTCCTATAAATTCAATTATTTTAAGGAATTTCCATAAAATTCTTTTCCAAAATTCAATTATTTTGATACATATAAAAATTTATCACATGAATTCAATTCTTTTGAAAAGTAATAAAATACTTTGCAGACATTAAATTATTTTCAAAACTTTTTAAAAATTCTCGTCAAGAATTCAATTATCTTTATAAATAGATAGCGAAATTCATCTCAAGAATGAAATTATTGTCAAAAATTTTAATAAAATTCAGGGCAAAATTTCAATTATTTTAACAAAATTTAATAAAATTCTTCGCACGAATTCAATTATTTTTATGAATTATTATTTAAATTCTTCTCTCAGGAATTCAATTATTTTTAAAAATTTTAATAAAATTCTTAAAAAAGTTTTCAATTATTTTCAAAAATTGTTATAAAATTCTCTAATATAATAAATTTCAGTAAAATTTTAATTAAATTCCTTAAAAGAAATTAGTTATTTTCAAAAG